AAAACCCTAAGCCCTAAACCCGAAACCCGAAACCCTAAACCCAATCAAAAACAACTTCATTCAACTTCCCTAACAAGAGCCCGGACGAAGTCCCCGATTGCAGCACCATACTTGGCCACGAGGCCCACGGAAGGCGGCTGATGCTGCGCCGTGTGCTGCAAGTTCCTGAGCTCGTTCCATGAATCCGAGAGTATCCTGGGAATCTTCAGGGTTTAGGGTTTAGGTTTAGGTTTAGGGTTTAGGGTTTAGGGTTTAGGGTTTAGGGTTTAGGGTTTAGGGTTTAGGGTTTGGGGTTTAGGGTTTAGGGTTTAGGGTTTAGGGTTTAGGGTTTAGGGTTTATTAGGTGTTTTAGGGACAAATAGCCAAGGCTCTGACATCGCTTCTCAGCAGCAGGCATGGGCTCAAAAGGCTTTGAAGTATGTTTGGCTAACCCTAAACCCTAAACCCTAAACCCTAAACCCTAAACCCTAAACCCTAAACGCTGTGGGCTCATGAGCCCTTATGGCCCTCAAGCCCTGCAGCGTGAACCCGAAACACCCATAAAAATTCGAGCGCCGGCGCACCCCGCTGTGAGCACAAAGGCTGCAGGGCACCAAGCAAACCTTTGAGCTTCCTCAGTGCAGTTACACGGTCTCTGAATATGGGCCCGTACAACTGAGGAATCCCTAACCCTAAACCCTAAACCCTAAACCCTAAACCCTAAACCCTAAACCCTAAACCCTAAACCCTATGAAACCCAAGGACCCATTTGAAGGAAGGCAAGGGAAGCTGTTGGAGCTCGAGCGCGAAGAACACCCGAAACACCGCAACTTAGCGTGGAGCTCCGAGCTTACCTAAACCCTGAACCCTACACCCATCAATCAAAGCCCATAACCCTAAACTCGATAATCCCTAAACTCTAAATACACCCTACACTCTGAAGCCCTAAACCCCAAACCCTAAACCCTAAACCCTAAACCCTAAACTCGATCATCCCTAAACTCTAAAGCCCTAAACCCCCAACCCTAAACCCTAAACCCTAAACCCTAAACCCTACGATCTTGGGGGAGAACTGGAGGGTTGGGGGCTTTGGATTGAGTGACCCGCCTCCGTTCTCGGGAGGCGCAGAAGATGGGTTTAGGCTTTAGGGTTGAGTCGGGGGTTGCAAGATGAGGGTTGAGGGTTGAGGGTTTGGAGGTTTAGGGCTTCGGGCGCTGCACCCTAAACCTTAACCAACCCTCCTGACCCTCCTAGCCCTAAACCCTAAACCCTAAACCCCTAACCCTAAACCCTAAACCCCAAACCCTAAACCCTATAAACAACTCCTGCCAGGAGTAGCCCTTGGAGACCAGGAAGGCCAGGTAGGCCCGGAACTCAGAGCGGCGCTGTGCAGGGACCTGCGGGGGGAGGGGGGGTTTAGGGTTTAGGGTTTAAGGGTTGAGGGTTGAGGGTTGAGGGTTGAGGGTTGAGGGTTGGGGGTTGAGGGTTGAGGGTTGAGGGTTTAGGGTTTAGGGTTTAGGGTTTAGGGTTTAGGGTTCTGACTAAGGACAAGGAGGCTTTGGGGTTCAGGGTGCCACCCTAAACCCTAGGGGGTTTCTGTGCTGGGGCTCACAATACTGGGTTTAGGGTTTAAGCCACCACCCAAGGAGTGCCTGGAGCCCGACGAGGACGCGCGCTGCGTCTGCGCCGTGGCCCCGGTAGTGGAAGAGTGAGACGTTGAAGCCTGGGGCTGGGAGCGCTTTCGGGTTTAGGGTTTAGGGTTCGGGCTTAGGGTTTCGGGTTCAGGGTTAAGGCCCCGGACTTTGAAGGCTTTAGGGTTTTCGAGGCCTTTAGGGGCTTCTGGGCTTCGGGCCTGGAAGAATTGAGAGATTCTAAAACCCTAAGCCCTAAACCTGAAAAAGGTGTAATCAGGGCCCAGAAGGATTCAGAGACCCTAGACCCTAAACCCTAAACCCTAAACCCTACACCCTAGACCCTAAACGAGGATTTCGGGTCTTGGCTTCAGGCAGTTGAGAAGTTGCGGGACTCGGGACGTAAGTCAAAGCCTGCGCCTGGATTGCTGAGGACCCGACGGAGACGTTCTAGGGCCGGTTTTAGAGTAGGATTTAGGGTTTAGGGCTTAGGGCTTAGGGTTTAGGGTTTAGGGTTTAGGGCTTAGGGCTTCGGGCTTCGGGTTTCGCGGACTCTTCGGCAAAATCCGAGACACCACAACGCCGTGGAACCCAAACCCTAAACCCAAACATAAGCGGCAAGTTGAAAAGAAAATGGTAGAGTTAGATGCAAAAACGGACCCCCCCCCCCCCCCCCCCCAAGGCTGTAAAAATTCGTCAAGATTCCCTTAGCTCATCCCCATGTGTTCCCCTACCCCCCCCCCCCCAGGTTCCGCCCTTAAATGACCTTAACAAGGCTGAATTCTCCCGAAACCGCCTTAACTATCGGGGAAAACCTAAAGGTAGCATAGAGGGGGGTAGGGAACTCATGATACAACCCAAAACCCCAAAGTTTGGGGGTGTGCGTGGGGGGGGAGGGGGGTAAACCAGAAGGCTAACCCTAAACCCTAAACCCTAAGCCCTAAGCCCTAAACCCTAAACCCTAAACCCTAAACCCTAAACCCTAAACCCTAAACCCTAAACCCTAAACCCTAAACCCTACCCACCTGGGGGCAGGTTCTCCAGGAAGTTCAAGAGGGCCCCAGGCTTCTCGGGGAACTCGAAGCGGAAGAGGCCCTCCTGCAACAGAAGAAGGCCAACTCCAGGGAGTGCAGGGTTTAGGGTTTAGGGTTTAGGGTTTAAGGTTTAGGGTTTAGGGTTTAGGGTTTAGGGTTTAGGGTTTCGGGTTTAGGGTTTAGGGTTTAGTGTTTAGGGTTCAGGGTTTAGGGCTTAGAAGGGTTCAGGGTTTAGGTGTTGCCAACCCCTGTTGCTGGGGTTCAAGGGTTCCTAAGCCCTAAGCCCTAAGCCCTTAGCCCTTGGCCCTTAGCCCTTGGCCCTTAGCCCTTGGCCCTTAGCCCTTGGCCCTTAGCCCTTAGCCCTTAGCCCTTAGCCCTAAGCCTTAAGCCCTAAACCCAGGCCTGGTAGTTTATGTTAGGGAAAAAAGGATGCCATGGCCAGGGAGAAAGAGGCTTTAGGGTTTAGGGTTTAAGGTTTAGGCTAAACCCAAAACCCTCAAGCCCCTGGAACTTGAATTTTCTCAAACCCTTAAAAAAGAAACCCGTTCACTTTCCTCGAAGCTCTACTAGAAGGGAGCCTTGAACCAAAAAGAAAGAACAAGGGTGCCAGTGGGCTACTAAGAAAATTTCAAAACACCAGACCCTAAGCCCCAAAATCTTGCTCGACGTGATCGGCATACCGCCTGCATTGGGATGAAAAAAGCGGCGACAAACCCTAAATCCTAAAGCCCATTTAGGCCGTAGGGTTTAAGGTTTAGGGTTAACTGAGGCTTCATGGCTTGCATATAAAATACCTGGAGCCCGCATTCGAAACCCTAAACCTCTAAAGCCCTGACCCAAGCAATGGAACCGCACCCCCCAAAAGGAGGGTCCTCCGAGGTCAGGTGCGACGGCGCCCTTCCACCTCTCGGAATTTGGACTTGAAGTGGAGGTTGAAGAGGGTTCAGGGTTTAGGGTTTAGGGTTTAGGGTTTAGGGTTCAGGGTTTAGGGTTCAGGGTTTAGGGGTTTAGGGTTTAGGGGTTTCGGGTTGTAAGGTTTAGGTGCTAAGGGGTTGCAAGCAGCCGGCCTATCAGGTTCCGGCCATGGACCTTGGCCAGCTCGTTCTGCGAGATGTCCAGGATGCCGAACCCGCTCTTCCTCCCATAAGGGAGGCCCGAGGATCCCTAAACCCTAAACCCTAAACCCTAAACCCTAAACCCTAAACCCCAAACCCTAAACCCTAAACCCTAAACCCTAAACCCCAAACCCCCAACCCTAAGCCCTGAACCCTAAACCATGAAACGCTGAGCCCGGGCCCATAAACCCCATGCCGCATGCCCTAAGCCCTATAGAACCCCCCCCCCGCCCCCAAAAAAAAAAAAAGAAACACCACCACACCCCCCCCACCCCCCCCCCCCCACCCCCCCCCCCCCCCCCCCCCCACCCCCCCCCCCCACCCCCCCCCCCCCCACCCCCCCCAAAAAAAAGAAACACAACACACACACACAGAGGGTTTAAGGCTTAGGGGTAAGATTGTGCCCTGCACAACTCCCCCCCACCCCCACCCCCACCCCTCACAAGCAGTCAAATCGAAGCCATGTGGGCTGCTCGCTCCGCTTCGGCGATGCTTCGGAAGCGGCAGCGCAGGAGCTGGAGGAGGGCCAGGCTTGGCGTGGTTGCGCGGCTGCAGCTCGTAACCCTAAACCCTAAACCCTAAACCCTAAATCTTAAGCCCTGAACCGAAAACCTCAGAGCCCCAGCCCCAGCATCAGCCTGTTGATGAGTCCCACTCCTGGCTTCGTCTGGCACAAAAGGGCGTTGAATGCTCCTTGGCCCCTCAAGGTCTCATGTGCCCTCAACCCAAACCCCAAACCCCAAACCCTAAGCTCCAAACCCCTAAACCCTTGACTACAAACCCTAAGCCCCAAACCCTAAACCCCAAACCCCTAACCCTACCTTCCCAACAGCGACGCGTGCAGGAGGTGTCGAGTGGGTTTGGGATTTGGGGGCTCAGAAACTTCGAAACGGGGCCTTGCTGTAGGACTGTAGGAATGTACATAGGGCTCAAGACCCAAGAGCAACCTAGGAAACTTCAGGGTTTAGGGTTTAGGGTTTAGCGTTTAGGGCTAGGGGCCCAGCTCACCTGGGAATACAATGGGCCCCCTGTTTGGTTTTTAGGGGGATTCTCCTACGCCCCTGACAAATGAAATAAGCGCCTAGGTTGAGGGTTTCAAGACTTAGAGTGGGTTTAGGGAGCCTCCTTTTGGGTATTTATGGCGCTAGTTGTTTGTATGTTTGGTTGGATTCTGTGTCGCCGCCCGCCGGCCTCAAACTGTCGATCACTTCCTGCTTGTCCTCCGCCGAGGACGCCTGAACGGATTTCAAGGTTAGGGTGTAATAGAGGGGTCGGAATAAGTACTAATAATTACTGATACTCTTCCCTGATGGTCCCGTTGTAACATTTTGCTATGATCCTAAACCCTAAACTTTAGACCCTAAATCCTAAACCCTAAAACCTAAACCCTAAACCCTAAACCCCCCAAGACCCTATTCTAGTTATTCAGGCCCCTATATAGGTTTGAGGTTCAAAATTCTGTGTCGGTTTAAGGCTTCGTGGGCTTGGGCCTTGGGTCTTCCGAGTTCGGGGCGCTTGGGTTATGGGGTCGGGGTGTAGGGGTTAGGGTTTAGGGTTTAGGGTTTAGGGTTTAGGGTTTAGGGTTTAGGGTTTAGGGTTTGGGGTTTGGGGTTTGGGGTTTAGGGGTGTTAGGCTTCATGGTTCTAGCAGGGTCTATAAGGTTTTTGAATTTATGGTTTTTGGGCTTTGGGGTTTTAGAGTATGGGGTAGGCTTCAAGGGTTAGGGTTTAGGGTTTTAGGGTTTAGGCTTTGGGGCATCCTCTCAAAACCCTACGCCTCAAACTTTAAACCCCTGCACCCTCCGCCTGCTAGCGCTTGTGGGGGAGGGGAGAGTGGATCCCCAGAATAAGAACCCCTAGAGTAGTATAGAGGAATAGTGTTTAGGGCGCTTGCAAGATGCTCATGGGACTTTCACACTTGCCTGGCATATAAACATTCCAAGTACAAAATAGGCTTAGAACCCCCACGACAGCTAGTTACAAAGCCCCTACTGGAGCCCTCAAGCACCTGCACGGAGAACCCTAAACCCTAAACCCTAAACCCTAAACCCTAGATGTCGCTCCGCCTGGAAGCCGAGGAAGACGTCCGCCAAGTCACCGCTGATGCGGTAGGAGCACTCCTCCGCGCTGCATCTGCTCACTCTTGACCCTAAACCCTAAACCCTAAACCCTAAACCCTAAACCCTAAACCCTAAACCCTAAACCCTAAGCCCTAAGCCCTAAGCCCTAAGCCCAAACCCTAAACCCTAACCCTAAACCCTAAACCCTAAATCCTAAACCCTAAACCCTAAACCTCTAAACCCCTTAAACCGGACATGCACAGCTTTGGTTCTTTGGTGAAAATGGGGATCCCTAATATACCCCCTAATACATACCCGGATCTTTGTTGGGGTTTGGGGGCGAGGGTTGCGAGTTTAGGGATTAGGGCTTAGAGTTTAGGGCTCAGGGTTTAGAAGGGGGCAACCGCGCCGTCAACCGTGCCTATACATATATGGTTAGTTCTCTAAATTATGGAAGGCGGCCCAAAAGGGACCGTATTGTAGAGAAATGACCATTTAGGGGCGTAGAGACATCGAGCATTTGGGTTTAGGGTTTAGGGTTTAGGGTTTAGGGTTGAGGGTTGAGGGTTGAGGGTTGAGGGTTGAGGATTGAGGGTTGAGGGTTGAGGGTTGAGGGTTGAGGGTTGAGGGTTGAGGGTTGAGGGTTTAGGGTTTAGGGTTTAGATCTTACCTTCCCCGAATCTCGGGGATCGGAAGAGCGAGCGTCCAAGGCCCAGCAAGTTAGAAGAGTTTTCAAAATAGACCTCAACACCTAGAGGGTTTGGGGCTTAGGGCTTAGGGTTCAGGGTTCAGGGTTCAGGGTTTAGGGTTTAGGGTTTAGGGTTTAGGGTTTAGGGTTTAGGGTTTAGGGTTTAGGGTTTAGGGTTTAGGGTTTAGGGTTTAGGGTTTAGGGTGACCACTGAGGAACCTGGGAATCAAAAGGGTGCCCCTTTTGCGTTTACAGAGGGTTATAAGGGAACCTAAACACGAAAAAAAGGGAATGAGGGCCTACGTACTCTGGGTCCTAAATACAGTAGATTCACACCAAGACGGTTCCTAGATTGAGATGTGCTTACACCCTATACCCTAAACCCTAAACCCTAGACCCTAAACCCTAAACCCTAAACCCTAAACCCTAAACTCTGCTGAGCCCCTGAGCAGTCCGTGACGTTGCGCGGGTAGATGCATTTGTACATGGCCCTTGGGTGTCTGGGGTAGCTTTTGCTGCTTTAAACGCTGGTTCACTTGCACTGACTTTGCTGGTCTCTGCATTCCTCACTCTTCTGATAACGGCACACATCGCAAAGTCCTCCTAACCCCTTAACCCTTAACCCTAAACCCAAACAAGCCAACCCCCAGAAAAAGAACCAAGCTAATATAAGGGGGTCGGAATCATTACGACTAGTGTTGCCTTATGGTCCTTATATATTTATACTAGAATAACCTACAAAACACTAAACCCCAAACCCCAAACCCTATGCCCCAATTCTAACTATAACGGCCCCTATATTAATCTCAGACAAGCAGCAGGAAGGAGCCCACTTTCTCTGGGATCTGCACCGCCTTATGACCGGCGGGTTTTCGCAGCTTAGATTTAGGGTTTAGGGTTAGGGTTTAGGGTTTAGGGTTTAGGGTTTAGGGTTTAGGGTTTAGGGTTTAGGGTTTAGGGTTTAGGGTTTAGGGTTTAGGGGTGAGGGTTTAGG